TATCGAGATCTTTGCTCCAAACCCGGGCTAGCCCGACTTAGATGTGGAAATGAGGTGCGACGTACATAATGCGATCAATGACAAGTTGTCCGAACATTTTCGAGATGTCTCTCAGGGTCCCGCCAATGGACATTTAGAAGCCCTGTGAAAAGTTTGTTCAAGTCCCGGGTCCCTGCACGATTCTCTCCGGATCGCCCATGACAATGTTTCCCTGCAAGCTTTTTTCTACGTCCTATTCAGGTTCAGTTCCTGGCATGGTGCTGCTGCCAAGCTCGTCGATTTTACCCCACACTCTTGTCGATGTCGGCTGGATACCTGCAACTCTTTTCATCGTTGTACAGCAGGAGTTACAGCAGGAGTGTGGAGTGCAGTGAACTTGAAAGCAACACCTGACATTGATGGTTATATTGAAACGCCACTCGCTTAAGCACTTAGTCGACATTTTCAGATAGACTTAGATATCTACCTAGGTAGTGATGCAAATAGTGAGGCAAAACCGAATGAAAGCGAGATACTCTCCTTGCTCAACCTCTTGGCGCAGAATGTCATGACAAGACTCTGACATCTTAGAGGCTACGACATATTAATCTTGTATATTCTTGTCTCCACCTGCCCGTACTTGGATCCTTCTTGGGAATGCCCCATAGGTTCAAGAGGACTAGTCGACGCCTAAGCCGATGTGAAATTCCAGGATATGTCTTCGTCGTTGACGCAGTCTCGCCCGGGTTCGGACAGTAATCACTATTTATATGTTTATATTATTAAGGCGAAAGCCCTCTTGCGCTTGCAGGGGCATCAGCGCTAATAGGTATACCATAGTAGTAAAGTGAAGATGCTTGAAGCTTATACGAATGAACAGCGGGTCATAGGGTTGTCAATGGTGACTGTAGGGGTTAAACTCGGCTCTTAGCTACGATGTCTATCAAGGTGCTCCGTGCTTTGGTGTGAACTCCTCCATGAAGTTTCAATGCTCATGATGAGTTTTACTGTTGGGGTCGAAAACTGCGCTCGTGAGTGGTCAAGAGTCAGTCATATCGGACACGATTAGCATATATAGATATTAACTGGTGAGGGCAGAATTCGGACACATCCACGTGCCTCGCTGTCCAAATCGAGCCTATGAGTCTTGACGTACAGGATAGATAATGCGTGTTAGGCCTAATTAAGCTTATGCATCGTTCACGCAAGGCCATGCTGGTGTGGCCGACGACTTAAACAAGATAGGTAGCCGAGCAATTCGCAGACAATGCAGAAATACCCAGAGACCAATCAGAATGGCAAGAAGTCTCGGCCTCATTGGTCTATAAATTAAATTTCGCCGTTGATTTATATTTCATGGAGTGGCACTTTGAACATCTGGGGTAGGCGTTGCGCCTCAATCTGCCCATCGCTCCTCTTTCGTCTCCCAAGGGACACCACAAGGGCTTAGTGCCTATTCTCGAAGATTCTCGACCTCTTTAGACATGAGTAACACGACATTATATATATTGAAGAGACTCGTACGCCGTTGTACACTTTATAAGAGGGGATCACCACCTGACCTGACTCTTTTAATATGTTGCGCGATATTCCTTCACGGCTTGGTCGTCTGTTTGACCGGGAACGGTCATCTCCAACCAAAAGGGATTAACTAATGAGCCTATCAAAGGTCCCATAACTAGAAGCCAACCATTGTAGAACGATGTAGAACTCTGGAAACCCTTGCATTACACACCTTCATGCTCGATTCCTAGCTTAACAGGGCCTTGACTTACGTACCCTGATTATGAACTACACGGGGTAGAAGACAGGCATGATTATACCTCTTAAGAACTACCCACCCTTGTCATGCATAGAGCGTCTAAGTTATAGGACAGCGCTACATGTAACGGCCAAAAACCGACCAGCGCGTTCTACTAATAGAGGTAGAGTCGTACTTAGGGAGGGATAATAGGGATATTATGTGCGAAATCCGGGAGAAGGATAGCTGGCGTTTCATAATATTTCCGTACCTGAAAGTTACATCCACTTAGATCTGATCCAGAGGAATTTCAACTGTACAGTTGTATTGGGGAGTGGACATACGTATCCCAAATTTTCATGGCCAATATCAAGCATGTGGCAGCCACACCATCACTTTGACCATTCATGAGGATTGATATTTACGCACGAGCATGCACTCCAGGTTTAACGTAACTGGTTGTGACTTCATCCAACTAGATAGGCTTCTCTAGTAGCAGTCAGCAAAGCTAAAATTATTCATCGTTGACCGAGGGCGCGATTAGGCTACATTTAGTAGCTGTCGTACATTGTGTCTGGCGTTACCGCAGAGGGTCTACGGTCCGACAATAATATCCCCCGCCTTTTCCAGCCAGAAGGTGAGATGGTGTGAATATGTAGTATCGTCAGGCTTGCCAAGCTTCCAGGCTTTTCACGATTCTCCACAAGTTCTCCAACTTCTCCATGAATAACCCGGATCTGCGGATGATATGCCTATGGGAATATCTTCTGCTAGCTGGCTGTCACCTTCCCGGGGTCCACCTACTATAGCCGAAGTACCTGGCACCGGCTACTGATGCCGTCGAATATGCAGGTATTTTCAATTGGGATGTACTGCTTCGTGATGATTTTGATGATTTCCTGCGCAACCATTCCTCCAGTCAGGGCGGATATGTTGTGAAGTTCGCCGCCAGCAGCTCGTGCTACCTCCTGAGAAGCTTCCAGTACTCTCTTGTTCCCGGCCGCCTTGGGTATTAAATTACTTATGGAGCTCATGATTTCATCGGCGGTAGACGCAATACTGTGGCTAGTCGCCACGAGGGCCAGATAAATGAATAAATTAGACATGGGGAGAGTAAATGCCCCCTCGGTCTCGACCTTCATAGCCTCGGCCGCCTCGTCGTTCATCGTCTCAGCGTCTATCGAAAGGAGGTCAGCCCACTTTTCAACAAGTCATGGAATGGGTTGCCACTAACCAAAGATTGCATCGAGATCTTCACTCGTTGGCGTTGCATTGATGAGCTTCACAAATCGAGCGTTCTTGCAGAAGAGGTCTACCTCGGCGGGATCAACGTCTTTGCCACCAGGTAAGGCCCTGGCAGTTTCTAGTACCTCCTGGGCGTCTCGCCGAGCTTTTGCCTTGTATATACTTTGCAGTTTGACATAGACAGTAGACTGGGCCTTCATATCGGGTAAGGCCCCAGATAGGGGGAGACACCCATGTTTGTTGTAGAATGCCTCAATCGCCTTTGCGATAACCCAGAAAGACGACTGGAGCTCAATCTATCGACATTAGTCTGGAACAGTTCCTATACACACCATATGATCATACCTCATTTGCGACTTTATGATTAAAGACCTCTTGTACACCAGGTTCTAATTCGGGAGCCTTGATGTTCTTATTGATAGCAGTAGCGGCTTCTTGGAAGTTCTCCTCCCCACCCTCTGGGTTATTGGTCCTTGCTTTGCTCAAGACAAACTTATTAAATGCCGTCTTATCATTGTAGCTGGTAGGGTTCTGGCCGTTATGTGATTGTCTCCATTCCTCAAGGTAGTGGAGCAGTATGACGACATACGGCAAATGTCCGTGTTCATGGTCATCTAGAGCATCAATATCCTTCGTCATATCTCGAGAAAACTCGATGAGCTCAGGCCAGGGATTCAGGAGTCGAAGATCTGTTGTCTTGTCTACCTCGGGGTGAGTGTCGACTACTGGAAAGGTTCCTGGAAGACTAATACGAAAATAAGAATAAAACCCGGCAGAATGAATAGCTACTAGCGGAGTCTTATTCTGACTGGCATAGGACTTTATGATCGAAAGAAGTTCCTTTTTAATAGGATTCGTGTACATGATGAGAGTGAAGGTAGGTGAAGACTCAAGAGCGCTGCGTAGATCCAGGATACCCTATGTTATCATATTAGCACTGCTATCTTCGTCTACCGGGTGCACCTTGCGCACCTCTTCCTTTGGGAACCATTCCCCCTGGACCTCTGGGTTTAGCTCCTGGAGTAGCTTCGTACAGCATTCTGACCTGAGCTTTCCTAAGCAACTCTCATCAAGAAAGAAGTTGACTCCTAAATCAGCCTCGTTCACTATGGCATCATCTGCTATCGTGAACTTTCCTATACCTATATTTTCATATGAGCTTAGGTCCGAGAGATTGAGCTGAGTATAAGATATACCTGGCAAGACAAGGTTCTTTAGTGTCTCTACGCCCACAGTGCCGGCGCCAGAGTTCACGAGGAGGATATTGGCCGATTCAAGAGCGGCTTGACCACTAGCAGCCCATAGTCTAAGCTGTCTGTCATACTTCTTCTCCTTCTCCGTCGGCCCGTGCAGAACAGGAGGCATTTGGCTCGTCACGATCTCAGTCATCTTTGCTGATTTCCAGGGCGGTCCGCTGATGTGAGAATCGTCCGACCGACTGCACCGGCCAATAACCCAAATATTAGAGCAACTTTGAGACTTGAATATGTTGTTCTCAATAGGATACGGTTGAACTAAGGTTCTTAAATAGTATGAACTCGGTCTTCTAAATGTTCGTTATTCGTTATTCTAGGCAAATGCGACTCGGGGAATGCTGTAAGGTTTAATGTTCACAAGGTGCAGGTGGTACAGTGGCAGAGCGGGTGGCAGAGCGGGTGGCAGAGCGGGTGGCTAGTGGGGTTTAGCCGCATGGCAGCTACACGGCTGCCAGATAGTTATGACGGCTGTTGCCGAACACCACACCTAAGTCGGCCCAATTAAACGAGTCCATTCCAAAACTTAAAGTGGACCATATAAAGTGTATGTGGATATATGTACTATGTACCTTTTGATTACTTTAGCCCCTATTTGTCTCTTTCTGTGAGATACAAAGTAGAAAAGTTGCATTTTTATAAGTGGAAGAATCCTTACATACGTTCCGATATGACATATTGTGCGATAACTTGTAGGCACTTATAATATATTACGAGGGGCCTAAAATCCCGTCCAACCAAATCAAAGATACTTTGCAATATCGAACATTCGCACGGGTGTGTCTGCTGACTTATACTGGTATAAAAGGCTTCAATAACCTCTAAGACTGGGATTTATAGTACATCAGCTCGGCAACAGAGGGCACGCCCTAACCCGCCCCGGATGAGTGGGTTTAGAGCATCCCTCCGCGGAAACATTTTCAGGATGAAAAATAACTGCAGAGTCAGCTCGTAGCATTCATAGGTGGTTGTTTATGTTGATTTATCGCTAGCTGTCACGACCTATCTATCGAGGTGCTTCGAGAAGTTCTCTGATTTTACTTTCCGAGCCATAAGCCCAACCTTTCCAATATCGATTACTATAGCGTCGGGCAGAGATCCTTTCCCCCCGGGTCTGCTCAAAGAACAGCATTGTTTTATACTGACATGGGGATCCCATTTAGTCTTTGATTGATACCTAGCAAGTTTCGTAAATGATACTAGTAGTAGCTCAAAACTGAAGGAGCAGAGGCCGAGGAAATTCAAGCCAAATAGGAACAGTCTCCAAGGCAGGACTATGATCTATAGATGTTTGTGGTCCTGGTAAAAGGTCAGGGAGTCTGCGGTTAACATATCCCAAGCTGAATGGGCCAGTTGTTGAAACTGGTCGCTATCCGAGCTTCCATAGCCGCCGGCCTCGATAAGGTAAATCTATTTCTTATTTGAAACGTCTAAGACAGATGGTCAGCACTCTCCTACAATAAATACAAGTAAAAGAGTAGTATCGGTGACGGCTTTTAACGTACTGAATTGGAAATGGATGATATCTCCGTCTTGGACAACCTGGGAGAAAATAAAGTCAGCTGCTGCAGCATCAGGAGGGGTCTCTGAGTACCTACATAAGACTTTCCTTCTTGTCGGTATTTTCCAGCAGCCTTGATTGGGCCCATGGACTTGCCGCCTTCGCAGAGATCGTGGAAGTCTTGGTAGGCGACCACTTCAGCTTTGATGAATCCCCTCTCGAAATCGCCGTGGATAGCTCCAGCAGCTTGCGGTGCTAGGCATCCCCTCGGAATAGTCCAGCATCTGATCTCCTTCTCACCAGCTACGTACAAGTCAGCGCGGAATTCACCCAGGGGTGGCAAAGTGTGAGCAGACCGGTGAAGTAGTATTGCAGGCCGAGCTTTGTGAATCCTTCAGTGATGATCTTGTCCAGTTTTGACTTGACCTTGCTCTCCTTGAGGAACTCGGCCTGTGCAGCTGGATCATCTTTCATGCTGTAGAGCTTCTCTTCAAACTCAATAGAGAAGGGGATGATGTCTCGGGGAACGCCTCCGTGCTCGGTGACCCACTTGGCTATGGGCGGCAGGTACTTGCTCTTCTGTCTGAGGTAGTCCTTCATTGTCAAGTTCACGAGGTATATGGTTGGCTTGGTGGTGATTAGCTGTATCTTCTCGTTGATGAGCGCAATCTCGGCCGGTGTCCAGCTTCCGTCTCTGACTGGCTGATCCTTCTCCAGCATCTATCTCACGATTGTGAGCATATTTAAAATGGTTGGACCTATGAGACTGGAAATTCTGGGCTCACTGCTCGGATCTTTGTCGTTGTCTCTGTGAAGAGAGGTAGCATCTTGTACTTGCCACCTGCCTTTCTGACGATTGCTTCCTCGGCGATGATTGTCTTCTGCAGAATGTCTAAAACGGGGGTGGGGGTGGGGTTAGCTGGTGCGAAGCCGATTCAGAGGGCAATACAAACCGAGATCCTTCTTGCAAAGCTCGCTTTGGATGGTATCTAGAAGATGCACCGATTAGTTTCGTCAACTCGAGAGGCTCGGCTGAACTGACCCAAGTCCCGGACGGGATCGATCGAGTCATCGACATGCAAAACTTGATCGTTATCGAATGCTCTGTCGTAGAGTCCGTGTCAGCGTGAAGGTGCGGCAGTTCAGCCATGTATGCTGTACCTGACAATGTGGAACATGCCGTCGACGGCCTGGATATGAGACAGGAAGGCATTTCCAAGTCCTTCTCCTTGGGAAGCACCCTTGATCAGACCGGCAATGTCGGTGACCTGCAGATACGCTGGGTACATGGACGGCGGCTTCCAAAGGTCACAGAGAAAGTCCTACATGTATTCCCTACTTCAGCCACCCATTGGTCCATTGGGAGTCTTTCTGTAGAGTATCTCGACTTACATATCGAGCGTCGGGAACAGCACATCTCGCCTCATTGGGCTCAATCGTACAAAAGGGGTAGTTCTCTGCAGCGGCGCTCTGCTCGGTCAAGAGATTGAAAAGACTCGACTTTCCCACGTTAGGCAGACCAACGCATCCCATCTTTAGGTTCTTGCGAACCCTTCCGAAAGCAACGACATTGTCCGTGACAGCTTCAACCTTCTTGGGGGGCATGGTGACTGTATTGCCCAAGCACAAATGAATATTTACTGGAAAGCTTGATCTTGGAGAGAAGATAAGAATCCTCTGCCAAACTTTTCAAAAAATGGCCTGATAATTCACTTCTAAGCCCACTTAAAGACATGGGTACTCACTCCGCATTGGAACTGCCCTCGCCATACTTTACTCCAATCGCCAAGTCGTACCTACATGACTTACTAATTCGTACTAACTAGAGCTCTATTCTATAGATCGCATGCGGCATAGACGATGCCATTATAAGATCCTAGAACTTCCATCCTTGAAACCTTCTATGCCTTATATGCATCATTTATATGCAAAATTGGGTAGTTAGTTTAAGAGAAAACGGATAGTTCGAACAGGTAGTATTTGGGCAGTTATACATAACAATGTTTGCTACTACTGGTATCTTCCGACAGAAATAAAATAAAAGTATTATAGAAAAAGTATAAAATATATTGTTAATTTGTTCTGTTAACTTAGATATAAAGGTAGGTACCTATCAAACATCACAAATTGGCATGTGCATAGGTACATAATATTTAAAACAGTGACAAAGCCAGATGTTATCTTTCTAACGAATCATCTTAATGGCTGATCTGCATGACCTTACCAACCAACATCACTCTATCTATTGTGGCTTATGCAAAGGGTATAAAAAAAGGCTTAAAGATAATCTATTTAGGTAGGATTGAACCTTTTTCAAAAAAAAAATGATAGGTTAAAATTAGAAAAGGTTAGCGGCTAGTTGGCATTGCCACAGACTTGTGCCTCGGTATAGAAAGTCTTGCGTAATATATCATTCTGGATAGTTCCGTAACCCATGGCGGTGATATTTAGCCAAATATTTATAGAAAAATTAGGACGAAAATATCTGTATATTTGGCACTTAAAATTGGTTTGAAATACAGGTATCGAATTGTCGGCGGCAAGGCCACCTTTGATAAAGAGAAATAAGAATGGTCCCTATCATAAAAAATAAGGAATTATTAGACTACGACTGGCCTCTGATATGGGTCTGCGGAGGTAACCTTGCAGCCGGTCCCGAGAACTCATGTTGCTTCAAGTCACACAATCGATTAGGTTTCGAGATATGACGATGTAGCAACTGTAAAATGACATGAACTCCTTTTCTTCTTTTTCGCAGCTTACTCAATGAGGCGATATTTGATAGGCCGGCGGTCTTTGGGTATGTAATTGTCAGCATGAGTAAAATCTCCACAGAACACAACCGTGAAGCAAGCTTAAACAGTGTTTCTCAACCTCAACCTCTGAGTTCTGTTGAGATGATTCAGGTCCGCGTACGGGAAGACAGAATCAGGACGTCGAGTGAAACGGGTGGAACTTGGTGAAGTAAATATAAACTTGAGGATCCATTGGAAACGCTCGGCGTTGTTGTACTCGTCGCTAGTGCGTAACTAATACAACGGTGCCGAAATGCTGTGTGAGCCTGGGGCAAATCCCGAGTGAGGGATGTCAGAATGTGACAAAGACTCTGTGAATCGTTTTCATTTACCTGAGGAATCTCACCCTGTGTGTACTAGCTTCTAACTGGTAGCATGGTGACAGTGTGCGTAGTATTATATATAAGTAAATACATACCTAGGTAGGTAGGAAAACGCAAGTGTTAACTATCAAACCTGCTTGAAACCTGTCCTTTAATTACTGCTCGTAGCTAAGAGGCAACTAAGGCCTCCCGCTCACAGCCATCGAATATATAGGTGACTATTTTCTAAGATGAGTCTAGTCAAGAATACTAGTATGAACAGACGATACCTTAGTGGGATTAATACGGCCATGTGAGACGTCTAAGGGGTACGATGTTACCAACAGACTGGAACTGGTTACCCCAGGATATCTCGAAATGGGATCAGGTGGGGCTGGAGTTGCACACTGCTGCAAGCAAACGTGAGCGACATTGCCGGGGTTCCATAGAAACGTTGTCTCGGTAAGCGTGTAAGTGGGATCAACGCGAAAAGCAAATATGGCTGTAAGAAGCGCTGCTAAGACCTTCTTGCTGTCTGGCATTCGCCTCGAGCGATTGGACACTCGGGTTTCCATACTCGAGATGCGCAGCATACGTCTCTCTACCGGCATAACTTAGGTACACTTGTCGACGGCCTATAAGAGTGATACATGTGTATCTAAGCGTAGGCGGGGATAGTAGCACCATATACCTCGAGTAGAGTATTTCCTTGTTCAAGCTCTTTGATAAAGGCGAAGTGCTCCCACGTTGAGAAGCAAACATGCCAATACCCACCGAATACATTGCCATGGAGCTACGTACGAATCCCACGAGCAGAAGCGAAGACACCGAAACTCTTGCTCCCGTTTCGAGCGATTCAAGCTTAGAGCTCCAGATTACTCGCCCAGAATTGCCTCTGCTACGCTTTTGGCTATTTAGTATTGGGTAGGTTGGGACATTGATCAGCGTCTAGCCGTTCGTCTAACATAGGACCAGGCTCCTTGTGGGGTTACTTCTATCATTCCTCGATACGTCAATCGTCGCCACGAGCATCTTTGCGATAGCGACTGAGTTTGGTGATTTGGAATCTATAAACTGGGTCGCCTTGGCCTATTCTTTGGTGTATCTCGGATGTGCTTCTTTGTTAGCTCGGGTTTCTGATATAATTGGCCGTCGAAATGCCTTCATCGCATCCTATCTCATATTCGTTGCATTTTCGATTGCGTGCGGGTTCGCCCAAAATCTGGTTCAGCTGATAGCATGTCGAGCTTTGCAAGGACTTGGTGGTTCGGGTGAGTGACAACTTATACGATTAGCATAAAACGACTGACTTTTGAGAGGGTTGTATTCCATCACGATGATAATCCTCCCCGAAGTTGCACCGGAGAGGATAAAACGCTTTATTGGAGGTCTAGTCGGAATCGTGATTACCATGTCAAGTGTTTTAGGACCGGTCCTGGGCGGCGTATTGACCGAGTATACAACGTGGCGATGGGTATTCTGGATCAAGTGCGTTTCTCTAATCGTCAGGGGACTCTCTAAACCTACCTACTGATGGAACGTCTAGTGGGCCTATTGGCGCAGTGTCGATTCTCTTGTTCTACTTCACATGGCCGACACCTCAGTATTTACCTAATTCGGGAAGAAGATCTTGGAGGGAACTGGACTATATTGGCTCGATGCTTCTAATTGCAGCTGCCGTATTAGTTGTCTTCCCGTTTCAGAATACTGCCATGATGGGAGATCAGTGGTCGAAGCCCGTGTTCATCGCTCCGCTTATTATCGGAGTAATCTCATGGCTAGGACTGTTCGCATGGTCCGTCTTCATTGATCGGCAGTTGGGCGATGTTATAGACGCAGCGCTCCCTATGCGTTTGCTGCGTGACCGTGTGTACGCAGCAGCGGTGCTTAATACCTTATTCATGGGATTTCCTTATATGCTTGTTATATATGCATTTCCAATTAGGTTGCAGGTAGTGAACGACAAGAGTGCCCTTCTTGCTGGCGTTATGCTGCTTCCGATGCTGGGATCAAGCGCTGTGGGCTCTCTTGTCGCAGGGGCACTTAACGGAAAGAAAGACAGAATATTTGAGACATTATTCGTTGCTACATCTCTAGTAGTTCTGGGTTGCGGACTTCTATCAACTCTTTCAAACTCACCTGACCTTGAACAGAAAGCATTGGGATTTCTGGTTTTTGTTGGCTTGGGCTTTGGAATGGTTGTATCAACAGCAACAATGGTGGCGACCTTTCACTCATCAGTCAGAGACCATGGTAAGTTTCCCACCTATTAAAACCTTCCCGAGGCCGCTTTTGACCACTTGACAGCCCCTGCACAAGGTTTGATGGCCCAAGTTCGAGTTTTGGGAGGTAGTATAGGCATTGCAGCCTCATCGGCCATCTTGGGTGTTAAGCTTCAAGAGCAGAGCGGCCCTGGCCAACCTAGCGAGGTTCCGTTGCTTGAAAGTGGCAGCAAGTCTCAACAGCAGGCTCAGCTAGAGGCTACTATACTAGCGTACGCGGGTGCGTTCAAGGAAGACATGCGGGTATGCACAATTATTGGAGCTGTTGCCATCCTCCTGACTTTTGGTACGTTCAGTCGAAATAGGTTGACAGTAGCAGAACGCAGAGCACAACAGGTAAGAGAAAGGTTCGGGAGAAAGAAAGCCCCGTCGTCCCAAGCCTTTGCTTACCCCGAGTCTCTTGCCGACCAACACTGAAAAGCTACTTACGGTTGTAAAACATGTAACTTGGAGAGATGAAGTATTCGTTGGCTACTTTGCCACTGGAAAAAGGTGGTTGCACATAACATAGGGGTTTTTCTCGGGAGATATTGTTCTCGAGTCTATTGGGGGGCGTTCATTGATGTTTTGTCATGCGGCGAGTTCGTCCCGATAAACGTGAGATATTAAGCGCTATAGATGATATCTGCTTGTATGTGAGGTTTCCCGGAGCCGCTCGGTTCACTATCTGCTCATGCTGGTAAGGACATTATCAACAGATTTATACTTGTGTGTGGTACGTATTAGGGAGTAAAGGATATTGCAGTAAACCGTAAATTAAAATAGGGTGTATATTTATCAAGTCTTAAGATATTAACATCTTGGAAAAGGGAATGAAAAGTGCCATGCGAAAAGGAGACAACTGGTAAATGTAAACGTTGGTGTTTAAACGCGTCTTTGCTCTATGTGACAAGGTATATAGTATACTCCATAGTATAATTTGATATGAGATTCTTTTATAAAGAGTACCGAATTTTTAGATGTTTGTTAAAAGATAGGGGCGTGGCATCGAGTAGATATTTGCATGCTTACAACGCTCTTACGAAGAAATATGAAATATTTGTGATTTTAGTGATTTGGTATTTTTACGCAAGGTTCTCTGAAATGCCGCCCATTAGCTAATAAAATGGACCGTGCACAAGTCTGAAGGCAGACTAAATCTGAAACCGCTTCCATAACTGGCTAGCCTGTCTTGGCAAGGCTTCGCCTGTTCTGTTTACATGCTTATCAGTGTTCTAATTTAGGCGATAGACGTTAGCGCAATTAGCAGGTTTCCGAACTCGACACCTTTTTGATTATTCCCCTGTACTTCGTACTGTCGTTGCATTTCATTGACATGTATTTTGATGGTGACGACGACGACGACGACGTGAATTGACCCTAGTACCTCATCCTCTATCTAGTCAATTCTGACCTAGATTTTCCAACTTCCAAACCTGAACAGTCGTATCCTCACTCATGAATTTATAAGAGTTTCTTTGCGCGCCTAAGACTCCAGCCCCTAACGGCGCCCGTCTCGAAATAAGGGTCGTGCCGTTCACTGCAATCTCGAGTACCCCTTTGCGCGCGTCGTTCTCGTCGGCCTGGTCGTTCACATATTTCGAATGTTACCCTCGTATGCATCCTCGACCAATTCCAAGATGATGCCTCGGCATCATTCCGCTGGATTTTCCAATGGCTATCCACGCAATACCAACACTTTCGATATCTCTCCTCATAGGTTGGTGGACCCTTTCCGACCTTAACGCGACATTGTTCTTAGGTTTGAATAATGAGTAATATTAATTCGTTTCTGACTGAGATGTTTACCAGATTTCAACCCCGCGCCTCGACACCTGCCGCTCGTCGACGAAGAAGTCTACTGACGCGATTAGGCATAATTGCGGTTGTTATCGTATTGATTTGGTTCTTTATTCGACCGGGGAGTGGATCCTTTACTTCTCTATTCTCCCTAGGCCTTCTCAGTTCAAGTGGTGATGTTTTGATGGACACCGTGCGCTACTATGATCTCTCGAACGTTCAGGGTACCGCTCGTGGTTGGGAAAGAGAAGAACGTATCCTCCTATGTGTTCCATTACGAGATGCCGAACCCCATCTCAATATGATGTTCTCGCACCTCCGCAACTTTACATACCCCCATCATCTTATCGATCTCGCTTTCCTCGTTTCCGATTCGAAGGATAGGACGTTAGAAGTGCTTGTAGAGAAGCTGGAAGCGCTACAAGCTAGTGAGGACCCGAAACAGCCCTATGGAGAAATATCAATCATCGAAAAGGATTTTGGTCAGAAAGTCAACCAGGATGTTGAGAGTCGTCATGGGTTTGCTGCGCAGGCAAGTCGCCGGAAGTTGATGGCACAGGCACGCAACTGGCTTTTGAGCGCGACTCTCCGTCCGTATCATTCATGGGTTTACTGGAGAGATGTTGACGTGGAGACCGCACCGTTTACTATCCTAGAGGACTTGATGCGTCATAATAAGGACGTTATCGTACCGAGTAAGCCTCCTTGTAATCTACCTCTACCCCTTTCGTTACTGACAGTGATATAGACGTCTGGCGACCGCTTCCTGATTGGCTTGGTGGCGAACAGCCCTACGATTTAAATTCGTGGCAGGAGTCGGAAACGGCGTTGGCTCTTGCCGACACTCTCGATGAAGATGCTGTGATCGTGGAAGGATATGCCGAATATGCTACTTGGCGGCCTCATCTGGCTTATCTTCGCGATCCCTATGGTGACCCGGATATGGAAATGGAAATCGACGGCGTCGGTGGTGTTAGTATTTTGGCTAAGGCCAGAGTTTTCAGGTCGGGTGTCCATTTCCCTGCCTTCAGTTTTGAAAAGCACGCAGAAACTGAAGGATTCGGCAAGGTAATGCCCATTTCATTGATATATAAATTAACGCTAATGGTGGATTTAGATGGCTAAACGCATGCAATTCTCCGTGGTTGGTCTTCCTCATTACACAATTTGGCATTTGTACGAGCCTAGCGTAGACGATATTCGGCACATGGAGGTAAGTCAAATTTTAACCCTTGTATTTGAAATACATGCTAATTCAAGATTAGGAAATGGAAGCAGAGCGCCAGGCTAAGGAGGCCGAAGAGAAAGAAAAGCAGGAACGGGAGAAGAAGGTCAAAGAACAGTTCAGTGATACTAATGCTCAATGGGAGCAAGATAAATCGCAGATACAAAACTTGGCTAAGGAGGCGCAAAAAGAGCGGGAATCCGAGAGCCAACAGGGGTCAAGTCAAGACTCGAAAGCAGCAGAAGACAAGGTTGGGGAAAAGCCAAATAACCAAGTTAGGGTAGAGGCCTAAGAAATGATATTTAGGATATAATGACTAATGGCCTTGGGTTGTAGTGAGGCTTCACGTCGCACTTCCGGACTCACTATGCATTAGGCGTGTGGGAAAGAAAAAAAAAAGTCATTTGGGGCAAAGGGGAAGGATAAGGGGCGCACACATGTGATCATCTGGTCGCTTGTACAATAGCAAGGACCATGTCGAGGATCATGGCACTGGCGTTTTGGTCGTATCCGATGCATGATTACGAAGCATGGGATATTTTCAAGCGCGGCAACGGGACCGCGTTGTTTATTGTATAGATTGGCCTTGAGGCTATATTACTTTATTAGTAGATATTCTTGTTCAAGCTGCCCCTGACGTTGTCCTGTTGAGTAATGAGTGATGTCTTATTTAAGCTGTCACGAAAATACCTAATTGTAATAGAAATCATTGAACGACATTTCAGTAAATAGCACTATAATAAAACGGTTTGGAAGTATTGAGTTGCCTTATTGGAAGAGCTCTATTGAAAGCATCAAGTCTACATCTTACCTATAAATATTGGAAGTTGAAGATAGATACTTGCATATAAGTACAGCCGGCATTTAGTACCTGGGCCTAAGGGCTGGGCATTCAGGGTTCCCGCCACGCTGTCACAATCGGATAAACGCCTACCGAAATACCTTACAGCTGGCAGCAGCTTCCCGGCACGTGCAATATTTCTAAGGACCCTGCCGTTAGATGCGATAAGTTTAGGTGCGAGTCACTGATAAAACTGTTACTTTAGGTACATTAGGTACAATTCACGACTCGGACAGCTTATTCATATTGTTCACGTCTACGTGTTAAACGTAATTGGACAATGAAAAGGAGTCTGGACTCTTTTGGTGTTTAGCGACTTATAGGCAGATCTTTCGAATTTCACTTCCGTATTCTAAGTGTCGAGTCGAGTCGATTTACACCAGCCTTGCCGACTTCTAATCTCCTATTGCGCAACGCCGACAATATCCACGGCCGCCCTTAATTTGCCACGTATTACTCCTGAACCGAGTGTCGCCTCTTTAGGCGAGAATGAGTCGAGATGAGCAACTGAGCGAAAACAACATGGAACCAGAGCTTGCGCCCGAGTCGAGTAGCTTGGGTCTCCCGCTACCCCAAAGCGCAACGAGGAACAAGGCTATGAATACCGATGTTCAGGTACCCAACGCGCACTTTCGAAGTCGACCGGTAACAGTAGCTGTTGACCCAGCTTCCTTGGTCATATCAGAATGCATATCGGTCTCTTCTGCCATGCGAAAGCATGCTCGATGGGCGGGCTCGTCGGTATCCTCTATACTAGGTGGCAACCCCAATCCTGTTCAGCTAGGCCCGCCTAGGCCTCTCTTGCGGCCAGGAAGCAAAAGCTCTGCAGCGAGCTCGGGAGTTGATGGTGCGCAGGACTTTGCTATCGCGAACCGGTGGGGTTTGCGGGGAAAGAAGGGCAAGAGCATGCAGGATAATCCCCTAATGGCTGGCTTTGGTCGTCTTCGTCACGAGCTATCAAACTGCAAAGGTAATATGAAAGATATATACGATATGTAGTAGGAGACTTTTTAACACATGTTTTAGATATCCACGAGTTCGATGCCCCGGCGTTACTCAACCCGTTCCTCCAAGTGATACAAGCTTCCTCGACCTCTGCTCCTATAACCATCTTAGCACTTAAAGCGATTCGGAAATTCCTCTCTTATGGGTTCATAAACCCCAGCTCTCCACGATTCCCTCTCGCCATGCAATCCCTATCGACAGCAATAACCCATTGCCGCTTTGAAGCGAGCGACTCTGCTCAAGACGAGGTTGTTCTACTCATGATCTTGCACCTGATGGAGGATATGTTGTCCGGTCCAGGTGGAGAGTTGTTAAGCGACGAGAGTGTTTGCGAAATGATGGAGACCGGCTTAACCATGTGCTGCCAGTCGCGATTATCCGAGCTCCTCCGAAGGACGGCCGAAGCGGCTATGGTCCGTATGTGCCAGATCATTTTCGAGCATCTTAAATACCTGGAAGTCGAAGCTGGTGATGACTTGGAGGCCTTAGATCACCAGGCGAACGGGGATATGGAAGGTGTAAAAATGGTCCCCTCGACTAATGGTAACAACGTTATTGCATCTTCTGATGCCCCTGGTGGCGAACCGCGAGAGTCGTCTGGATCAGAGAGTACTCCTCGCAATGTAGAAGAAAGGCCCGCGATAGAACCCTCAGAATCTGACGATTCTCTCGATATCAAACCCTACTCATTACCGTCTATGAAGGAGCTGTTCAGGGTTCTCGTAGACTTATTAGATCCCCACGACAAGCAGCAAGGAGATACAATGAGAGTCATGGCGCTACGTATTATTCACGTTGCCTTGGAAGTTGCTGGGCCGTCTATAGCGAGACACCCAGCTTTAGCTGTCGTCGCCGAGGATCGGTTATGTCGACATTTGTTTCAACTCGTCCGATCTGATAACATGGCTATTCTCCAAGAATCTCTCATTGTAGCTGGGACACTACTTGAGACTTGCCGAGGGGTCCTGAAACTACAACAGGAGCTCTTCTTATCTTACCTTATCGCGTGTTTACACCCACCGGTCGAAATACCTCGCGAGGAAAATATCGATCCTTCGCTTTATGATGGAATTCCACAACGGCCAAGCGGAGTAAAACCGCCTCCGTCGCAAGCGGGCAGTGGTAGGTCGACACCGGTGCCGGTTAAGGACCGGCAGAAGTTAGGTATGGAAGGTGGTGCACGAAAACCAGATGCTCGTCAAGCCATGGTTGAAAGCATCGGGGCTCTCACTCGGATGCCAACATTCTTAGTTGAACTATTTGTTAACTATGACTCTGACGCGAATCGTGGGAATCTATGCGAAGACATGATTGGATTGCTTTCGAGGAGTGCTCTGCCTGACTCTGCAACGTGGAGCACAACTAGCGTACCACCCCTTTGTCTAGACGCACTCCTTGGCTTCGTTCAGTCCATAGCCGATCGTCTTGACGAAGAGCCAGTTTCAGATGGGTTACCAGATCAAGCGACTCTCCGAGAAGAAAGACGAAGGAAGAAAGTTATCATAAAGGGCGCGACTAAGTTTAATGAAAAACCAAAGGAAGGCCTAGGATATCTTAAGGAGCAAAAGATTATTACCGATGACCCAGCATCAGTTGCCCGATTTTTCCGAAGTACATCTCGAGTCTCCAAGGCGGTCATTGGCGAATTTATATCAAGAAGGGGCAATGATGAATATCTTAATGCATTTTTGGATCTTTTCGATTTCTCCGGCAAGCGTGTCGACGAAGCAGTGCGACTTCTTCTCGAGAGTTTCCGACTCCCTGGCGAGTCACCGCTTATCGAGCGAATAGTGACTGCCTTCGCGAAGAAGTACTTTGCAACTTCAGGCTCTGATATTGTTGCGAGCGAGGATGCTGTGTTCATTCTTACGTATGCTATCATCATGCTAAATGTTGATCAGCACAGCCCGAAGCTCAAGGGCTCGAAGCGCATGGAGCTCGTAGATTTCGCGCGCAACTTGCGCGGCGTTAATGGATCTAAGGATTTCCCTCCCGAATATCTCGAATTTACTTTCGAGGCCATCAAGTCCGACGAGATTATCCTTCCAGACGAACACGATAACCAGCACGCCTTCGACTATGCATGGCGAGAACTACTCCTCAAAAGTGAATCCGCTGGCCCGTTGGTACTTTGTGATACTAACATCTACGACGCCGATATGTTTGCCACAACCTGGAAACCGATTGTCTCAACATTATCGTACGTATTCATGTCGGCAACTGACGACGCTGTATTTTCCCGTGTAGTTACTGGGTTCGATCAATGTGCGCAGATTGCGTCCAGATATGGTATCACAGAAGCATTAGATCGTATTATCCAAAATCTTAGCTATATGACTACGTTAGATACCGATGGTCTATCAAGTACGGCTCTTAACACGGAAGTTAAGGTATCGGATGATAGCGATAGCGTTATGGTTAGCGAACTCGCCGTTAAGCTCGGCAGGGACTTCAAAGCGCAGCTTGCTACACTCGTCCTGTTCCGTGTCGTAAAGGGGAGCGAAGAAGTCATCCGCAAGGGTTGGCAACATGTAAGTTTCTGACACAACCTGACTCGGGTTAAGCTAACCAGTTTAGATTATCCGCATCTGGTTGAAACTATTCGTCAACTCCCTTATTCCCTCGTCGTTCTTTAATAAAAATTTCGAGAAACTAAATCTTCCCAAAATTCCGCTTCATACCCCTTCTCAAGTTATTGATCGAGCGACGAAAACTGCCGACACAGGCCTCATGTCGGTCTTGTCTTCGTATATCTCCAGCTATGCAGCTGACGATCCGCCGGAACCATCTGCTGAAGAGGTCGAAAGTTCGTTAAGCACAGTTGATTGCATCAAAGCCTGTGATCTAGAAAGTGTCTTCGCGAATATCTCGTAGGTTGTCAAGGACTCCATAGTTTGCGCACTACTAACCCAACCTAGGGCCCTTTCAGCAGATTCTTTATCACCACTTCTTGAAGCTCTTTTGGACGAACTGCCCGATGACGAAAGTTCGGCTGTACCTGTCATCACAGTGAAAGCAGAGAGCCTCCCTTCTTCACCCACCAGTGGATCTAAACCTCCTTCTAAGAAGCCTACTTATGATCCTGCAGTAGTATACATCCTGGAATTTTGTACCGTGCTTGCATTAAGAGATGAAGAGACAGTTGAGCATCTCGGCAAACCCGTCGCAGAAGCTTTGCAGATGATATTGCGCGACTCCCCTCAACACCACCCTATCCTCGTTTCGCGAGCAGCTTTCTATCAATTTAGCGTATTAAAGGCCAGCTATGTAAGTATCACCCCGAAGATAACTAGGATGTACCTATACTGATAGTCTAGGATCACGACTTTGTACGAGCACCTGTACTACTGCACACTATATCTAGTTTCCCTAAAGAGACCCTTGTGAAGACGTCGCAGTTGGTTCTACAAGGGCTGAAGCTTTGCATTGATCAACCAGGGCCTCTGCGAAGCGAGATTATGACTTCGCCCGATTTCTGGCTCATCCTACGTACCCTTGCTGGTAACCCCAATGCGTCTTCTACCGTCTTCGAGATCCTCGAAGGCGGAGTGTCAGGTTCGCCTTCAGCAATTATTGCGGATAACTACGAGGCTGCAATTGCCCTGCTCAATGAGTATGCTACCGCCGCTAAAGTCGGCGCAGTTGTGCAGCAGAAGGGCGAAAGGAGGCAGAGGAACGCTCGACCACCGAAGAAGGAGGCTTCGAGGTATGTTTTTCGTTGCTTCGCTTTTTATCGATTATCTAACTGGTTCTAGTGATAATGCCGTGGTTTCGCGGGGCGTAAAAGCCGTTAATCTCATTTCTAGCATGACGGCTCGTATTCCTCACTTGATGAAACAATCACATCTTGAGAATAGCGAGGGTAAGTGTCC